TATATATATATATATGTGTGTGTGTGTCAAAACTGTCCAACTTCAAAATACTTTGTTGTTAACTTATTTGATTCAGCAAAGTGAATTGAACATAAATCATAAATTAGGTTGTACTAAAAAAAATCAAGAAATGTGTTAAGCTAATTTTAAGTCAGTAATTTGAACAAACAGCAAAAATAATTTTGAGGTGTTGTCTTCTCTGTGTTTCTGTAAAAAAAATTTAGTTCACTGCGGTAAAATGACCATTTGGAGGCAGTAAAACACCAAGTTTTGTTCTTTGTTGCACACATTAAGATTATTGGTCACATTTGAGAGCACAGTTTCTCATGCATTAAGCATGTATAGCTGAAATATAAATGAGATATTATCAATATGCTGACATATTACAATCAATAACAGAAATCTTATCGGTTTGGAACAAAGTGAGGTAAATTATGACAGAATTTTCATTTTTGGATGGACTATATCAATTTTATAGCACAGTATGTATGAAAAACAAAATACATATTAAAATAACAATTATTTTCATGGGTCAAGACCTAAACTCCACTTTTTTACACTAATGGTGTGCAATGGGCAGATTAATGTCTTGAGTTTGTTTACACTCAAGTGTTGAATCTGCATGTCATGTATATATATATATATATATACAAACATTATGATTTCTAAGTAATAATAATAATAATAACAACAACAAAAATTTAATGTGATTTAAATAAATTGTGATTCCAACTTAAAGTTTTACATCAGATATTTGAAAAACTAAAATAATAGTGCACTTTCAAAAATAAAGAAACAAAAGCTATCACGTGGAAGTGTTAATTTTCAAAATTTTCAAATGAACAAATTTGTGCCTGTTTAGCCAATTTTTAAACTTTAAGTACTAATATGTACTTTAAAGTACTCTTATAAAAAACTTTAGGTAATAATGACTACCTTAAAAGAGATAGTTAACCAAAAAATTTAATTTTACTCACTATTTACTATATTCCACCCTCAAGTGCTTCCATTTACCCCACAGTCAAAAGATATGCACTACAGGTGAATTGGATGAACTAAATTGGCAGTAGTGTATGAGTGTGTGTGTGTGTGTGTGTGTGTGTGTGTGTGTGTGCGTGCGTGCGTGCGTGTGTGTGTGTGTGTGTGTGTGTGAATATGAGAGTGTATAGTTGTTTCCCAGTACTGGGTTGTGGCTGGAAGGGCATCCGCTGCATAAAACATCTGCCGGAGTTGGCTGTTCAACCCCTGATAAACAAAGGACTAAGCTAAAGGAAAATGAATAAATGGAAGTCTAACATTTTTTAAAATAACTCCTATTTTAACAAAAAATAAAAAATAAATGAACAAACAAATAAATAAATAAATAAATCAAACAGGTTTGTGACAAGTACAGGGTGAGAAAATGATAACATAATTTTCAGTTTTGGGTTATCTCTTTACAGAACTAATATAGACTATTTAGGTGCAAATTTGATGCTTTTGTAAAATACAACCACAGTCACAGCTTTTGTAACTTTATTTCTGAGAGTATACTGATAATAAATTCCAGAAAGAGACAGAATCCAACAATGTGCCATCAAAAATTGCATTGGACACATTTTTAATGTAGACAGTATTGAGGGGACTGAATTCTGGATGGAGCCCATGTGGGGACTGTATTCAAAATAGAGCCCATGCTTAAAGGGAAACCAAAAATTTAAAATCTGTCATTATTTCTTTATGACAGAATTTGTTTAGTTTATCTTTATTTAAAAAATATATATATATATTTTGAGGAATGTTGGAAACATATAAACCATGGCATTCATAATAGGAAAAGTGAATCAGTTCTTTCCTTTCCATTTCAAAATAAAAGTCAGTAGTTACAGGTTTCCAACAGTTTTCAGTATATCTTCTTTTGCGTTTGTGTTCAAACTGGTTTGGAAAAAAAAGTTAAGGGTGAGTAAATAATGACAGAATTTTCATTTTGGGTGACCTATTACTATGAGGTAAACATGAGACAAAAATACACAGTCTATATAAAATTCTATGCACATACCGGTTTGTATGTCTGATCTAACAGAGTGTCTGGTCAGGGGCTTCATTTAAAAAAGTGCATACAGATTTATTAGTCAGCTTGCTACAAATCATATAACAGTCTGTGGTGTGCAGAGAGTCTGTGCATTTTTAAAGCAAATCTTGCTGCTCCCCATTATCAAGTGGTTTACGTGTTGACTTGTGTAGTTTTATATGCAAAGAGATTAATTAAGAAGCAGAAATCTGAAACCGTGCATAATTTCAAAATCTTTTGCTATTGATAGATTTCAAACCTGGAAGATCTTTTTGTTGTTGTTGTTTGGCTGTAGGCCTACATTAATTTATATGTACATTTATATATCAGTTTATGCAGAGTATTTTATAATTGAGGCCCCAGAAACACACATGGAAACCCCTGACATCATATAATTATTTTTAGTTATCAAATTAAAGAGATAGGCCACCCAAAACTAAAAATTTTGTATTCATTTATTACCCTTTCACTTGCCACAAAGCTGTTTGAGTTTCTCTCCAATGTTCAACACATATTTTGGCCACATGCTGGAAATGAGTATCTGTATCTCCTATCTTTTTTCCACTACAAATGTCAGTGGTTGACAGGATTATTAGCCCCCCCTTGATTTTTTTTTTCTTTAAGTTATATTATCCTTTAAGCTATATTTTCTCGATAGTCTACAGAAAAAAACATTATTATATGATAACTTGCCTAATTACCCTAACCTGCCTAGTTAACCTAATTAACCTAGTTAAACCTTTAAATGTTACTTTAAGCTGTATAGAAGTGTCTTGAAAAAATATCTAGTAAAATATTATTTATTGTCATCATGACAAAGAGAAAATACATCAGTTATTAGAAATGAGATTTTAAAACTATTATGTTTTACAAATATGTTGAAAAAAATCTTCTTTCCGTTAAAAAGAAATTCATGAAAAATAAACAATAATTCTGAAAAATGAAAAATAAGTGACCATATGTTCATTTCTGGGTGAAACATGCCTTTAATGTCATCTACCCTTAAAAAATGCTTATGACAGCAATATTTTCTGGATATTCTTCCTCATCAAATGAAAAATGTTATACCTAAATCACCTGAAAAAAAGAAAATACCCTGTACCCTGTAGAAGGTGCTAATTTAGGTGTGCAGCATCATTTCGTTGGAGTAAAATACAATATGAGCTTTTTAATAATCACATGAGGACCTTAAAAAACTCATTGTCTTTTTTAACATAAGGGCTTTCTTTATTGTAACATTCACTACATTAAAGTATGCACATCTGTCTTTTATGCCAATACAAATGACTGGCTTAAGAACCTTCCATTCATATGGTCAATAGCATTTTTATCGGTTATGCAAATGTGCATAGATCTGAATGCCACATACACAACTCTGACCATGCACTTTAAACACAATTTACCCACATACATCTTAAAAAAAATAACTCAAGGTTTGATCATTAACACTGTACGTCTCAAGAATGGTCCAGTATTTCTGTTGCC